CTTGACAGAGACCAGGTGGGCAATAACGACAATTGCTCAAAGTAAATATCAGTAACAGTAGACATTATATTAGTCTCTTAACGGTCAAACGCCAACGTAAAAACGATGGTAGCAGACGAAGAAAGCAACCGGAAGCAAAGCTCATATTATAAATCACGGAGCGTGGGAGAAAATTGTTGAGTTTCAGTTCTTTTTCGTTCGATCAAGGTCTACAGAACCCTCCCTTCCCTTCGGTCAGTGTCGGGGAGTACAAATAAGTACCACTGCATGCAGTAACTCATAAGTTTTCTCAACAAAGGGAAAACTTATGGAAAACAGCCAAAATGCGCTGAAAACAGAAGTTTCGGAACTAATGAAAGATTTTATACAAAACTTATGGAAATAAACTCCCTATTTTGGTAGTTTATTTTCATAAGTTTTTCATAAAATCTTTTCATAAGTTCAGAAACTTCTGTTTTAAGCCTTTTCCGAGTGTTTTCCATAAGTTCTTGATTTGCTCGCTTGACTTATACATTGCTGCATGCAGTGTACAGGTACTAGTAATATTTAATGAATGACCACGGCGAAGAAGGAAACGTATGCAGACTCATAAGGCCCCCGATGGAGTCCAAGGTGAAGGGGCTGAAATATCGTGTCTTTCTGAAGTCTTTCAACTTCTACTTACTGTATTTGGAGTGTTCATCATAGGAGCTTAACATCATGATGCTACGCTCCTCGGGAGGTTAACAAGACTGGATTGATACGGGTTGACAAGTAAGTATTTGTACTTCGCCGCGGCGGGAACCAGTGTACCGTATTATATTCGAAGGTGAAATTTATATCTATGTCATACTTTGATAGTACTTACGACCGTCGCCAATGAATAAGTCACATGTGCTACAAGCTGCTATACTCTACTTACCGAATCATTGCACAAAAATAATTATAAAAAATGGTGAGCCTGAGGATCATAGAATGCTATTATTTGAGATCGATATACAGTATTACTTCTAGTGTCCCTTCTTTCTCACTCTCTTCTGGATACTCAGGCTATTTCACCATCTCCCTTCAATGTTTTATGAACGCAATTGGCCCAGATTCACCGAGCCCCGCCAACGATTCTTCATTTCGAAGTTGGAATACTCGAATACACATCAAAAGAAGAAAATGAGATGCCCATCTTTGACATGTATGAATATGAAATTCATTGCACGTGAGTCGGTAGCGATTTACAGCTTTGACCGGAGGCATTTGTATATGTATCAAGCTGGATGAAATGGAATTTGCTGGAAAGTTGCCCCAGTTGAATTAGAATCGCTCATGGTCCTCGTTCAAATCTTCTGTCAACTGGGAACATACTTTGACTGCTTCGAACGTTGAAAGCCGTATGATACGTGTATTCTTTTCGGTAACATTACAGAGATGCGTTGAATATATATTGTACAGAGTTTATTAAGATACAAAAACTTCTTTGTGAAAACTATTACGTCCTTCTGAAAATTTCAGCCAAGGACGTCACAAAAACGCCTGAGCCTGTAGATTCCATAGTTTCGCATAATCTCCTCCTGCACGAATGAGATCATCATGGGATCCTTCTTCTACGATAATAGAATCGCACATGCACCTGTTGAGAAAGGTAAAACGGGTCAGCTGGGAGGAATAGAAGATGCATGGCATGTACTTACAAGATTTTATCCGCATGTCGCGTGAGGTTGCCGAACCGATGGGATGAAAATATCATGGTTTTTTGTCCACGGAGAAGTCGAAGCCGCTCAAAGAGATCTATAGAATCATCGGCAAAAGGAGAGGTATAACGAAAATACGAGTACATACCATGCTCTGCAATTGGATCAAGACTGGCGGAAGGTTCATCAAACAGTAACAATCCTACGCTAGTTTCAGACGCCAAAGAGCGCATAAATGTTCTCGACCTGCGAAGTAATCTCAGCAAGCAGCCATTGATAGAAAACAATAACATACAGCGCAATCCTTTGCATCTGACCGCCTGACAAAGTCGTCGACTCGTTGCTTTTCATACCACCCATGCTCCGTATCCTACCGAAGCCTGGCACAGGTCGCCCGAAAAGATTCGTCGTCCCTTCTCCAAGACCAGAATAATGATCCCTCACTGGTCTATCGAGATAGGTGTTGTACCCTTCTCCAAGGCGTTCAATGAACTCCGACGCTCCGCCTAGCTTTGCAGCCTGCTTGATACGGTCAAGGTCATCGGAATGACCTGGGTCACCTAGCGCGATGTTTTCTTTGATCTGTAAAAGTTTGACAATCTCAATCTCGTAAAAATTGAATAGCCATAAACTTACAGATAACGGGAAATGGGTGTAATCTTGGAATAAGACGGCGGTAGCTTGACGGAAATCCGCAAGCTTTAGTGTTTTAATGTCCTGGCCGTCTATAAGAATTTCGCCTTCCTGCGGCTCGTAAATTCTAGCAATGAGCTTGAGGATGGTGCTCTTCCCTGAACCATTCTCGCCTAAGATGACCTGGAAACATCATTACAGTGCTCAGCTTAATATTTAAGGGGAACTGCCAGGATACACATACACAAAGTTGCCCTTTTTCGATCTTGAACGAGACGTTCTTCAGAGCATACGCATTGCTTTCAGGATACTGGAAGCAGACATTCCTATTCCGAACGTATCAAAGTCAGTTTTAGTAAATAAGCATTGTTTCAATATTCACCTAAACTCAATCGAGATTCCCATTTGCAAGGACTGATGATTTTCTGGATATGGAATTGTGCCATCTAGAATACGATTCTGCAAGTTCATTCCTTCATACATCTTGCGAACGGTGCTAAAATTGTTGGAGATAGTGCCAGTGTGTGAGAATAATTGCATCAAGGATCCGGAAAAGGACTGCGAGGTAGAGGTGATAAGGTTAACAGAGGCTAGAGAAAGCGGAATAGACGCAGGGTATTGAACAGCGCGCAGGGTAAACACAATCTGCAACTACGTCAGTAGCAGCCGGGCGAGATTAAAATGGTGAAGATAAACCTGTGGGAGCTCATGCAGTGGTCTGCGAATTATAGAAACAAGGCTCGGGAACCGTCGTTGTTTCCAGGTTGCAAACACTTCCCCGAACTCTCCAGCATCTTCTCCCAATACAGTTACGCATCGCTGATATTCTGTGAAGCCCCCTCTTTAAGCGGTATAGGATGAGCTGGAGAAGATCAGCTCACCGGAATGCATATATTCCCACATGTTACCCGCAACAATTTCCTTGCGATGAGCAGGTGAGCGTATCGCCCTTTGTAGACCTTTTAGTTTGATGTAGTCGTCATTTTGAGTGGTAGCGGCCCATACTGGTGTTCACTTGTCAAATATTATCAACACCGGTAAATTGAGACAGCTGTTTACCCCTGGTGGACGGAGAAAGGTCGATCCCGGTGATCCATGAAAGAAAGGAATGAGAAAAGCTCAATAGTGCGAGAAGAGGGCCATCGTGCTGGTTTTTCAAGACACTGAACAGCACAGATAGCTGAGAGATCATCCTGACAGCGGTACTGCCCATACGGATAGTAGTTACGACGGTCCTCCAAACGAGGGACTGTCGCGAACTGGTAGGGAACACCTGCTCAAGCTGTCTTTGAACGAGGGGATCACCAAAGGTCGGGACGTCCAAACGCGCTAGTACAGCAAACATACGCGTCGTATAATATTGCTTAATGCGAGTGTTCAATGGCCCAGTGACGAAAGTCGAGGTGTGACTCAGGAGGAGCTCTATGACAGAGCAAGCGATACGGCCAGAAGCGACTCGGAAAAGCAACTGTTTGTCCACCGTACGATGCTCTACAGCAGTCCCCACCTAAAATTATCATGTTACGAGATCAAAACCGCATAGGCTTCGAGTACTCACAATTGTCAGCAGCTGACCAGCGTACCTTGGAGTATGTCAGTGCGGACCCAAACACCAAATTCAAGGGCTCACCATAGCTGTACTGCAGGAATAAGGGAAAGAGCAAGCTGAATAGTAAGATACAAGGCCATGTAAAGCCAACATGCGGGAATGCTCGCGATATCCTTCAACATCCGCCATATAAAAGGAAGACTTTCATAAATTTCAAGAAACCGTTCGAGATTTAGTAGCGACGAAAACGGGATTTTGGCGAGTTCTGGCTGTCTCTCTTCATAAATTTCCCATACTTTACCAACATAGCTGTGTTCGACATTCTTTTCATCGGTCGGGTCGAACTTTCCTTTGCGGTTTGAGTGAGTACCTCGGTACATTGTGAAAGAGAAGAAGGAAAGGATTTAATCTTGCTTCATCGCGCATTGTTTTTGAATGCAGGATCATGATTGAAGTCACTGGGCCACTGCGCATTGCACAATGCTTCAATACAGTACAAGTCAAGATTGAGTCAAGAGAGAATTAGGCGCCATCCAATGGGTTTCGAGATACGAGCGCTTATGATTCGTCTTATATTCTGATAAGTACAAGCCATATGTACGGGCACTAAGTATACGTACTAAGTACTAATATTAAATCCCAATGGACAAGATGAAGGGAATGAAAGATATTGTCTTTCTGAAGTCTTTCAAGTTCTAGCTATCACTTATATCGAGTCATCAGGAATCAGTGCGAGTTGGAGCTTAACATCATGATGCTACGCCTCGGGAGGCCAACAAGATCCGATTGATACAGGTGGATAAGGGATACATGTATTTCAACCTAAAAAAGGGTTCTCGGAGACGCCGCTTTACTTTACAGCCAGCCAGCTATATAGTCCTCGCTATCGTCTGCAGGTCTTTGTGACGAAAAACTTGGTAAAGCAGAGCAGCAAAAAAGGCAACATCCCGCGCTAGTAAGTAAGCCGATTCGATTACTGCGTAGTGTTTGCGAATTGTGGCATTGAAGAGTAAGTATACAACTACTCTGTACATTTATGATGAGTACGATACTGCCTGACGTGCTGTGGGTAGATGGAAGAAAGGAATTACTAATGCGCCTGTGGGTTCAAAGTTCTTCTATCTATGTTTCTCCTGTGATCTTCCTATGACCAAGCATCAGTGGTCTAACGGTTATGATCCGGTCTTCCCAGATTTCCACCACTTGGTTTGGCCGGGAAAGGGGTTCGACTCCCCTCTGATGCATGGCGGCATGGCTAGCAAAGTTGATTTTTGCTGTGCAATCCTTAATGAAATTTTCACACTCGGTGGGAAGGCAATCCATAGCCAAATATCTCTTTTATAAAGTATTTAATATACGTAGCTCCATGTTGATCACGGCAATTGTACGCGTACACTTGCATGATGGATTTGTAGAGCTTCTTCATCATAAGTAAACCTGTGAATTCAAGTTTTTCGGGCTCGATACATTGCTTACAATCTTCCCTTTGAGGTCGTCCCACTTCCCTTACTCCTTGCTACATTTCGATGATATTGAGCCACGACTTTGCACATCCTGTTGCCATCCAGATTCATCTAGCCCAACCAGGCATACAATTCTCCACTTCAAAGTTGGAGCTCGATGAACGTGGATCCGAATACATCCAAAAAAGGAAACGAGATGCCCAGCTTTGACACGGAATCAATACGAAATTCATTGCACGTGAGTAAGTAGCGATTTAAAGCTTTGACCGGGCGCATATCTTTGCTTTCAAATCCTTCCACCTATCGAACTGGAAGCATTCAAAAATCAGCATTTGTCACTCAGATTCAAGAGTCAATACAGTGTGATCACTCCCTGAGTGACACCGACGGTACAAGCATCTTAGTCAAGACAGCGCCGGGTTCACAAGCTCTTCTCTTGGAAGCGCACCATAGTGAGAAGGGCGTCTGATATTCACGTATAAACTGACTAGTACCCGGTGTGGTAGCTACAACATTGACCTCTGCAGTGTTAGTGCTCGCTCACTCTTTCTGCCTCTGACAGGAACCCGAGTAAATGTAAATTGGCTGTGAGTGCGTGCAGTGATTCTACTAGCCACCTTTTTTAGACCGCCTTTGGACTTGTCTGACTCGAATTAAACCAAAAGAAGAATCCATAAAAATGTATATTAGTCCCGCTAATAGCGACTTTGACTCGGATGTAGATTCTGCACAGCTATTGGAAACCGCATGTTATTACTTACCGAAAGGAATGCAGGTCGATGAAGTACCAGGTAGGATAGGTTCTAGCTTCAAGTTTTATCCGTGACGCTCAGACACTGCCTCTCCAATCAAGACAATGTGCAGTACTAGTAAACGATTTCGTTACTACCGCTGGCAATAACTACGGTACCGCTGGACTTTTGTCAATCATGATGCTCGTCCCGCTGGAGGAAGTTCTGAACATCACGGTTACGCTGTATAGCTTTCAACAATTCCGCGGGTATCAAGGCACTGAGCACTCTGTCTCTCGGAAGGTTCCCGAGCGAAGCGCGTCACGGTTCCGTCGCATACTGTGAGGAGCATGCGGCATGGAGCGTTTGGCATATCTTACAGTCTGAGGAGCATCGGGCAAGTGAGCGCCGGTTGAGCAAGTTCAAAAGACTCTATAAGGGTAAATTTCCACATGGGCTCGGTCAAACTTCAAACTTCAAACGAATTTTCATACCTATACACCACATATATATGTTTTTTCTCGTAATTGAGGTACCTTGAATCTGTATGTATTTTAATTTTCACAGAATGAAAATCGGTGTTGTTTGAATTCAGATTGACTCGACGAACAGTCGGACGGACCAACAACTTGCCAGACAATTGTCCGACGCAGAATCGCATTAAAATATCTCTCCATTTCCCTTCGTTCCTCCCGAGTCCCAATTCATGTAGATATTGTACCTGTACTAGCGGCAGTAGTAACACCGTGACCGGCCGCAGTACTAAGCAGCTTACAAGTGCGTACTGGGAAGCTCCGTAAGTCTCTCTCCTTCGGAATTTCGTGAGATACCTTTACCTTACCATAATTTCCCGAGTCCGACTCCGTTGACTCAGCGTGAGGCCGGCCAATGGCAGGAGCATACAATTTATGCATTTACAAAAAAATACTCCGATGCAAAAAAGAATCTTAGCACATGCTCTCTATGACTCTGCCAGCCCGGATACAGATACTGGTGACGAACAACTATTGAATGAATATCCATGAAATGACCTTCCGAACAGTATTCATGCCAAGCTCCATCTCACCGAGTCCTGAGCAATGAAAGCTGTGTGATTCGGAAATGAAGATCGGTAAATGGGATAACCATAAATTCATGCTTGAGCACTTGCAATATTCTTCTTGTGTATAGCCACACCACTTGTAGAACTGCCTACAAGTTCAGGCTTCCAGCATATAACTCTTACGGCGCCGAAGGCTTCGAAGTTCACGTCCGATTAGCTTGAGCTTGAGATTTAGATTTTGGCCTTGGATCTAAAATAAATAAATAAATATCAAGTATAAGCGACAACCTGAAAGATCGAGGTCGAACTCGAAGTTGATCTGCCACTGGCTAGTGGAGATGGTTCTAGTGAGTGGTGAATCGAAGCTAAAAAGGAATCAGAAAAGAGGGACCGAGATTCAGTACACGAATCCCGAATCCCGAATCTCAAAGAAACGCGATATCATGATACATACCTCGAGGTCGACGGGATAAACAACATGGTGGCACATCTTCGTCCAGGTCGCCATCATCGCATCTTCCACGGTATCTGAGGTCTTCGTCGCCACCATCGTACCTGCAAGCCCAGCGCTCGGCTCGAGCTACTAGTAATATCGTAAGCGATTGGAACAAGCTCGTTAGCTTTCGCTGAGATATATAAATTACTGCCATACCGATCGAACGGCTTCAGGTCTAAGAGAGGTTATACTAGTAGTGCCGACTCGGTACATACACACATGCCTCTTTTGTTTTAAAATATGTCTTGTCAGTCAGCTTGAAGCTAGGCCTAGCACTAACAGTGGCGAATGGGATATACTAACCATTCGCAGCTAGCTCTACTAGCTATCTTGATTCGAAGCTGGCGCTGGGGTTAGGCGTCTTCGGCTTGTGCTTTACAATGGGCTCGGAGGAGGATTTACATTAAGAATTCAAGTGCCGCAAAATTAAAAATATATACCAATTGAGAGCTACGTGGCTGGGCTTGTGTAAGACTTCCGAGTGTAATGGGACCAGTCGGATGGATTGAATGAAGATTGAATGAATCTTGCACGGTAGACAAGCCGAAAGTACGTATTGAGTTATTAGCTTGAACCGAGTATTGGGAAAGAAACTTGCGTCGATCTTCAATAGAAGACGATAATTTCTGGCGTAATTCTGGACACTTTGTTATTCCTTGGAGAAGACAGCCGTGAGCAGAGTCGGTCCGAGCCATGAAATAGAGAGTGTAGAAAGCTCGTTTGAGCTGGAAAAGCACCTGTAATACTTACGAGACTTGCAGATGGAGATGGTCAAGAGATGGAGTAGTATCGGTGATGGAGGCGCTCGGTAATTGCCCTGTGACGCCGCACGCGTGACCCTGGTTTCGCGCGTGCGCCTCCGAGTCCGGCATGCAGGCAAGCATCAGCATCCTGTTCTCCCCCCTGACAATCCAACTGTTCCAAACGAGTTTTACTTGTCTCTCCCTGGTTTTATAGAGATATTGTTCAAGATGTCACTTTTGCAGAGCTTCCCGTCTATCTGGCAGTGCTCCTTTCGACGGCAACGACAATAATGAATCATCCCAAAGGTCAAAATTTTCCAGCGGGTACTGGACAGCCAGTTCGGGAGATTCGTTCGGTAATGAATACAAACCATTGAATCTCGGTGATAGTATGAGATTTCGCGACATACCATTCTGGGATCTAACGACATTTTCGGGCAAGTACTACTACTGTGCTTCGTGCCTCGGAATGAAGGTTTTAATTGCCGGATGGAGCGCTGTCCGATCGTGTATAAAGGCTGTTTGACTTGGTTTCTTTTTGCCCTACTTCCCCTTTCACTTACTATTTCCTCATCCCTCCTATCCATATCCGCCTTTCATTTATCTCGCTATCGTCCCCAGTTCTGCCATTGTTAATCTCGCTAATTCCTATACTCTGCTATGCCTTCGGCTCCCACAAAGTTCATTCTACCAGATCTGGTCTCTCACTGCGATTTTGACCTACGCGTCAGTCGCCACAGAAAACAGGTCACTACCGAAACCAAAAAATGGCTCTTCAAAGGCGATAATCTTGTAGGCAAGAAACGCGAGAAATACCACGGATTAAAGTGTGGCTTGCTTTCCGGTATGTGTTTCTCTTTCTTCTACACGCTCTTTGTATTAATTCATCCAACCAACAGCGATGTGCTATCCCGGTGCTGCTTACCCGCAGCTCAGAGTCTGCAACGACTTTCTCACCTACCTCTTCCATCTCGACAACCTTTCCGATGATATGGACAAGAGCGGAACCATGACCACCGCAGACGTCGTGATGAACTCGTTGTATCACCCAGGCCAGTATCAGTCCCCACGCATAGGAAAAATGACTAGAGAGTGAGTCAGTCGTGCTCCTATGACTCTGTCATTGGCTAACGTTCCCAAAGTTACTGGAAACGCCTTATTCGCACTGCATCTCCAGGAACTCAGCAACGCTTCATCGAAACGTTCGACTTTTTCTTTCAGAGCGTGACGGAGCAAGCTCGCGATCGTCAGGACGGTGTCATACCAGATCTTGAATCATACATTGCGCTTCGGAGAGATACATCTGGTCCGTGCTATTCGTTCTAGTCTTCTTCGTTCTTGCTTAACATTCTGTTGACGCCAGGATGCAAGACATCTTTTGTACTCATCGAGTATGCGTACAACCTCGACATCCCAGATGAAGTAATGGATCATACCCTTATTCGAAGCTTGGGCGAGGCTGCAAATGATTTGGTTACGTGGTCTAACGTATGTCTTCCTTCATGTCTACACCGGCTTTCTACAGTTATTAATTAAAATTGCCTTTTTTTCCTCGTGCTCTCCACGCTCACCCTTCACTCCGTGTCACACCTGTTTTTACCTTGCCCTGCACCCACCGTTGGTTCCTGGTTGCGCTTCGCTTGTACCAATAGGATATCTTTTCCTACAACGTCGAACAGTCCAAAGGGGATACGCACAACATGATCCCCGTCATCATGAACCACCACTCTCTCGATCTCCAATCCGCTGTTGATTTCGTTGGTCAACTC